AGTGTGTTCTTCGCGTAGCACAGAACACAACAATGGTATAGTAATGAAGAATACATCATACAAAAAAAGAATAAACAAAAAATAAATTAAAATACTCACCAGCCGGCATTATTTACGGGCAGCTTGAAGAACACGGGTGTAAAAGCGGCTCTAGTCTTCAAAACCGTGTCAGAGAGTGTTCTCAGCAAAGACAGGAACACATCAGTGACACAGTAATGAAAAAGAAGCCAAATAGGGGGAAGAAATGGGGAAAAAACAGACGAAACCTGAAAATGCAAAAACAATAGCGAAAAAAGCATTTAAAACAACAAAAATTACACCAAACCAACAAAAAAAGCAAGACACTAATACAAATTTATCAAGTAAAGAAAAAAAAAAGTAACTTACCTTCTCGAAAGCCGGCCGAAATAAGACGATTTTTGGAGAAAAATCGGCTTCGTCGAGTCGATAATCAGCTGATCGCCGCGCCAGCAGCGTCAATGGGCAGGCGGCAGAGTACTATGCGGCGCGTGTCGAGCGCACAGGGAGTGAGAGGACGCAGGGTAGCTGGCCCCGCGCCGCCGACAGATTGCTACTTGTGACGCGGTCGCTGGGGCACTCGCGTCTGCGGTCCTCCGACCGCCCTAATCAGGTCGAAGGATGACGACTGTATACCATCAGATAGCGCAAAAATTCTCTTCAGGATGTACTACTGAGACGCAAGGGAGAGTGAGTTTTTAATCAGCAATGAATGTTCAAAATAGTAGTACAAAAACGTGCAGAACTTCCGGACACAAAACAAAAAAAAAGAATCAACCTAATGTCCGCTTCCAGCGAACAAATATCAACTTCCTCACCATGACAGGGTTCTCCTAACGATGCTGTACCTGACTGTGTTGAATTATGAGAGCCAGCTTGACAGCCAATGCTGCCTCACAGCTTTTTATTGTGTGCTTTTTTCGAAATGAATCCTATTCGGGCAAAAAGAAGCGAGATCAACTCCTAATGTATGTGGGACTTGAAAAAGGCGGAATACCTCTGGAGTAGCCTTGATAGAAGCTTTGATAGGTGAAGCGCCAACGCTCCACGAACGTGGTTTGGCTGCCAGTGAACCGCGGAAAAGGGAAGCGATAGTGTTGATGTTTTATTTTAAGGTTCAAAGTCTGCATCAAGGAACTTATAGGTTGTAAACAGGCAGAAATGTCGAGAAGTGGTGATTCTGTCGTACTGTAACGGGCTAAACAACGGAAAAACGTGTTATCAAGGATGCACCTAATAATTGCCGCCATTTACGGATTTATGAGGAATATGTTATTTTTAAATGGGTACTGTCTGAGTCACGTGAAGCACCTCTCGCTAGCTGTGATAGACTTCCTGCGAAAGCTGTTCATTTGTAGAGTGGAATCCCTTGACATCTATCGATGGTTTTCTCAGAAGCCATTCCTGGCGGCTAGCATGGGGCTTTTTAGCCTCGTTAGGAGGCCCGTGGTGAGAGCTCGAAATTGTCAAGGATTCCCTCCAGTCTCAAACTTCTAAGAAACAATGGGTTATGCAGTTGCTACAAGAAGCATATCTATGGGTTTCTAAATGACAATGTAAATGAAGAGAGGCACGTTTTTCGGGTGTGACTAATTCCTCACAGATTCTCAATGCCTTTATTGGGATCGGTACTAAAACGGATGATAGCGATAAACGCCTGCTGTGATAGGAAACATCCTCGTCATCCAATAGTGAATGTCCCGATGAAATCCGGTAGCCTTCTGACCGGAGCTGCCGACTGTTGGTGTCTTATGCCGCCTAAAACCCTGGGAAATTGGCATAAGAGACACCTCCGGATTGCGGCATGAGTGGCAAAATAGGGCGCTGTATAGTGGGGAAATGGCGAAAGAACGGAGTGAAACGGTCAAAATCCGGCGAAGAAAAGCCTCCGTTCTCAGTGACTTGTAAATCGATTTCGGACGAGTTTCCCGTACGCATCTTGCCAATCACCGCTACCGAAGATACGGCTGCATATTACCATATATGCATGCAGCATCACCGCCGCTTCATACCAATCCCTTTGCTTCATAATTTGCTCAGCAAATGAATGAATACGAGCGTCAGAAACGGTCGTCCGTTTGTGGGCGGGCGGGCAAGGAAGGCGTTTGGGACGTAAAGTTGTTGCTCAATAGGGCGTTATAGGGGTACCCTTCTTGGAAAAGGCTTCACGCAGCGCCTGTCCGAGGTCACGGAATTCTGTTAAGCCAGTTGTACAAATCCTACACCTGTATAGCGATTTATCGTGCCAACTGCCTTTAACTGCTGGTTCATTATTTGCGGAAAGCGTCTAACCAGCGTCCATCAGAGTGAAGCTATAATTTGCGGCAGCGTCTATCAGCGTCCATCAGAGTGAACCAGCGACGATAAGCGTTACGAGAAACTAGGAAAATGGATATCGATCTATCGTGGACCATCGTCCACCATGTCCACCAGCGCCCACCCGCGACCACCAGCGTCCAGCGTCCAGCCAGGGACCAGGAGTACGATGTTGTGTAGTTGTACGGTGCGGCTGCTCACGCCACAATTTAATGACGCCTAATGCAGCTGTATCCTCACTCCCACTTTCCGATAGTCTACCAGCAGTCTGCTATCCTCCTACTTCCCCGCTACTCTCTACTCTAGCGACCAGCGCTGACGGACGCTGATGGTAGCTGCTGGCCGCTAAATCCATACTATATTATCCATACTTTCATAGTCCTTCGAGACGCTGGAAGACGCTGATAGACGCTACCGTTCGTATGTATCCCAATACTTTCCTGGTCGCTGAAGCCGGCGGATGCTCAAAACGCTGGTGAATGCTGCCGCAAACTATGAACGCAGCGTTACAGTCCTAGTCGTTATCACTGGTGTCAGGCAGGGAGTGCCAGCCTAGCACGGGTTTTAGAGCGTCACCTTTCACACCGCTTATGGAGTGCTCGAAGACTCAACGTTGATGAAAAAAGGCCGGCGCTTCGCAACATTCACGCCCAGATGACAGATCCCGACTGCCTTTAGTGATAAAGGCTGTACGTCAACTAGCCAGGAGATGGAACGCTGCACCAGTGGTGCGATGCAGCGACCAGTGCCGTCTCATCTAACTTCTCAGTGGCCATCTTCTGGGTGGGGAAAAAACCAATTTTTAAAAGCACTTTGAAAATGATCTGGCTGCCTTTCTCAGCACGGGACCAAAAAACCTTTTGGAAACGGGGCAACCGCTTTTTGTTGTTTGCTGGCAACACAAAGTTGCTTCTCATTGAAATAAGTTCGGCTAAAATAAAAAATATGGCTAAAATAAACAGGAAAATTTCGAAAAAATCGCGAACTTCTGGGATACACCAATAACTGGGCATTCTTAGGTGAGCCATGCACTACCCAATATACTGTCGCGATATTAGTATTAGCCAGAGCAACTGTTTGTACCGCAGTGTTCAATGGTTATATATGGAGGGAGTACACCAAAAAGAACAATCAAGATCTCAGGTTGGCTAATAAGAAAGGAGAAAGTTACGAGACGAAGGAGGATTTGTGGCCAATTCTGAGGACGAGGCTCTTTTATTGTTTTGCGATGGTCATGTGATTTGTGGATTCATCTCGTGTCCCATGTCGTCCTGAGATTTGAATTGTTATGGTAATGGAAGCCTTGAAGAAGTATGTAAAGCAGGATTCATTATCATGTCCTGAGCTGGAACTCGTGTTTACATAGAGACGTGATTCACGACGTCTTGCTATTTGTGACTCGCCTTAACGGGACCAATATTGAGACCGCACGCTCTTCAATAAAGCGGAACGTAATATTAGGTTGTCCCAAAAGTTCTGGGACACTTTCAAACTTTTTTCGAATTAAGTTTATTCCAGTGGGAAGCAATTTTGATCAGCTATATATATGTCACCTTCATTGGCAACTTGTTGCCAATCACTACGCAATGTGTGGTTGCCCTGCTTCCAGAAGCCTCTTAGTTCTGTGGCCAGAAAGGCAGCTGGGTCATTTTTGAGGTACTATCAAAAATCGTATTTTTTTACCAAGAAGATGGCCGCTGTGGGCGAAAGATAAAAAATAATTAGTTTAGACGGCGATTCTGAAAAGAGCTAAATTCAGGCTAGCACGAAGACGTGGTGGAATTCCCTCAGCTAAGAAATGTGGAGATTTCCGCCCCACTTGGCAGTTGAATTCCAAAGGGCGCCTGGATAGCGTTGGAAGCGAGGATTCCGTTTCGAGCAGCGGAGAAAGGTACTCCACCACATATTACCAGCTCATCGCCCCTAGCTGATTGATAGGAGATTGCGCTAAGTCGGTTCTGCCCTTCCTGGGAATTTACGCGCTGGCGCTCCAGGAGCTGATTCATACTAGAAGCATCCACTCACATTATCTATTAGGTCGTTCAGTATGAAATGTCCGTTTTTGAGAGTCAACTTCAGTTTATCATATCTCATACAACGCAAATTACAATCAATCAAAATATGATCCTAAGTTATCAACACATCTTTGCCATTTTAAAGGTAACTTATTAATTCCATCTCTATAGAAATCTGGGGAGCGAGAGGCAATAAAATCATGAAAGGCACTTTCTACATCATCATAAGAATTGAATAATTTTCCCTGCAAGAAGTGATCTAAAGCTTGAAAGAAATGGTAATCTGTAGGTGCTAGGTCGGGAGAGTAAGGAGGATGAACGAGAGTTTCCAAGTCGGAGAATGCCGGTGTAATGGTTTAACAAGGTCGAGTTTGCCACATGTGGCCGAGCGTTGTCCTGCAGTAGGAGCGGTCGGTCTCTGTTAATCATTCTCGGCTGCATAACAGCAAGCTTCTCCATCATTTCCTCCAGCTGTTGACAGTACGCCTCCGCCGTGATCGCCTGACCAGGTCTCGTAAAGCTGTAGTGAATCCTCTGCCGAGGACTACCAACTGGATACCATAGCTCCTCTCGCGTGAGGTCCGGGCTTCGGCGTAGGTTTGCGGTCGAGGTGTCAACACTGGTAAGACCGCTTCCTGTTACGAAAATGGATCACTTCTCGTCACATGTGACGAGACGGTGTAAGAAAGGCTCGCTTTTTTGCCTAGAAAGTAAGGAAAGGCAAGCCTCAAGGCGGACCCTCTTCTGACGATCGCTCAAGTCGTGCGGTACCCAACGGTCCAGCTTCCTACTCTTGCCAATTTGCTTCAAATGAGACGAGATCGTCACCTTACATACTCCAAACTTTGCCGCTAATTCTCGAGTACTTTGAGTGGGATCAGCTTCCACTACGGCTTTAAGCTCATCGTTGTTCAGCTTGCACTCGGGCCGTCCTCTCGACTCATTTTGAAGATCGAAGTCGCCGGATTCAAACTTTGCAAACCATCGACGTACTGTTCGTTCGTTAGGGGCATCCTCTCCAAAGACGACGGTGATATTCCGAACTGCCTGTGCTGCGGTGCTTCCACGGCGGAACTCGTACTCCAAGACAACACGCAATTTGGACTTGTCCATGTCGTTACAAAAACCTTTCTAAAAAAGTCAGATTCCACGGCAGCCGGAGGTCCACCGAAGGTAAGAAAGAGGGAGGCTGCACCTTTACCAAAACTCAGTACCAAGGACTGCCGGAGCGTTTTGCCTTAGATACGGACTCTCGAACTATGCACTTCTGAAAAACGGACATTTCATACTGAACGACCTGATAGTTACAGTGCTGTTCAACCAGCCCGTACAGCGGAAGCGGGAGAGAAGTTGTAGACAGTACCCACATGTGCTCCCCTTGGAGTACTGGTCAACTGATGAGAAAAATTTTGACCGAACTTCAGAACTTTTCTAAGGGAGCGAGGCCTTCTCTCATTTGTGCTTTGGGACCAGTCAAGTGTAAGGACTAGGTAGCAAGTTGATTCGTACGAATTGGTTTTAATCAAGGAACACAGTAGGTCCAAATCCAAGGCAGGTGGCCTCCTTGGACGAAGTTTTTCACCCGGATAGAAGTCACTAAAGCAGAAGCAATTGAGCCATTCCAAAGCCGTACTGTGGAAGCTAACATCAAGATCTAAATAAGGGAAATGCCGCTTATGGCTCCAACCACGTTGTGGCTTGGTAGAGATTCATATAGCGAAGTGTGTCGAAAATGATGAATTTCAATTACCGTTTTTCATATGAGAACAGCGACTGCGAGGGACGGTGAAGAAGCTGTGGAATGCTTACCTCACACACTTCCCATAGACCACATAACTGGATCTCGAAATGGCTGCGGAAAAATCTGATACGAGATTCAAAAAGTGTCCCAGAACTTTGGGACAACCTAATATAAAACCTAGGCCAAGCAGAGACTACAGGGCGTGAAAAGGTGAATAGAAGTACATCCGGTTAGGGGAAAAGCTCTTGGCTGAGCGAAGTTTTTGATGATTTTTTTCATGCGCTAGTAGAAGCAAAAACTAGTTTTCTGTCTTTCTTTCATTTATTACTACTTTTCGTCGTCTCAGTCCACGAACCAGTTTATCACAACTACCGAAAGGGGGGGGGGGAAATGGCAGGCAGACCGGGCATCATTTTAACGAATTATGTAAAGATCTTTTAGCTGCACATGGTGGGGCGTGTAAGGGGATGGGTTCAGCAGTGCGAGCCCGCTTCGTTTTTTTTCTCTCAGCAAGCTACAAGAGTGAATCACATCGTTCACATGAGTCGTTTTCCACCAGTTGTTTTCGCTGGATTCGAGACGAACCTCAGCCTCGCTGACACAGTCTTACATCTGCAGCGATCATGCCATTCAGAACTATAACCCAGACTTTCCCCCCCCATGACCTTGTGCAAAATAGTGAGATGGGGTGTGGAGTTGATTTCAGTGGTGTGATGGTCAGCACAATTGCTCGGTTGGTGTGGTATTCGCCTTTGGTTTACGCCACTGTTTACTTTTCCCGCCCATAATCCAGCATCCTAGCAGAAACAATAAAAGTTCTCTCTCAAACTATAGACGCTCATTGTTCAGCGTTTCCTGCCATTGCTCTAGAGGATCCCTGATTTGCTCCAAACACGCTCCACTGCTAGCCCGCAACTGTTCCATGAAGGCTCAGCATCCAGAACACCCTTCATTTTCTTCTGGAGCAAATTGCCGTTCAGGACGAGATGCATCTTCCAGGGCGCAGTTCGGCTTGGAGGGGGAGAGTGGGCGGAGGGGCATTACACGTTGCTGCTTCCTATTAACGTGTCGAGCAATCATGTGGAAACCTGCGAAATGATATCAAAAAAAATTGTAGCAACCACTTGCCAACTCTCTTGAAGAATACCTGTCAAATCGTGTAAAGCGATGACCACGTAGATGGGAAGTGGCGAACGTGCCGTGTGCAAAATGCCCCCCCTCCGCCCCCCGAGCTGAACTGCGCCTCAACGGAACCAAAATGACCTTTCTTGAATGGCTCATTTTAGCTGCCCACGGTCACTTTTGTCGAGCAAGTTTTTTCCTAATTCATCCTATCAACGACTTTGACAATAGTCGAATATTTTCACTTATCGAGGATCAGTCTACGAAAACCACACTAGTCTAAAGTGGAAATCCGCGAAGAAGATAAAAATGCAGAAGCCGGCAAATGAAGAGTTCAAAGCGATGTAATAAGTAAGTTTACATTAATTATTCAGATTTTTTGGTCGACCTAGTGAGGTAAGGAATAAACTGCGGTTAGCATTGGTCAGCATGCTTGAAAACACGATAGTGTAATCAGTGGAGTGGGTTGTTATCTGTCATAATTTCAGTCGTGATTTTGGCCGAGAGTATTTTGTGCCCATAATCTACTGGTTGAACATCGTATTTCCTTCGTGTTTCAGAGCTAAAGAGCCAAAGCCGCGGAAGCTTGTCAGCCACTTTATTTTAGCACAAGGCTATCTAACACTTTCATTCAGAGCTGAGGATCAGGGCAAGTCACAGGTTGAGGATACCCGACGCATTCAATTGCTGGAGAGAGGACTAAATGGAGGAATTATAGGGAAGAAATATCAGAAAAAGGTAGCGAGTGAGGGTGAGCAGGAGTTGCAGCAAAGGAGCAGTTTTTAGGGAAGGATCGTACCCCTGCAAAATTCTACCCGCGGATGGTTGCGTCCTGTTGATGATACATTTGAGCGTCCATTTGACGGGTGCATGGTTTCGAAAGAGAAACTAGAACCAGATATTCACGGTCATTTCCTTCCTTTAGAAGACCCTGACACCGCTTAAACGGCCCCTTATTACCTTTGGTACAAGAATGATGCTTCAGAGGTGGTGCACTCAGATTCTGTATTCCTACAACCCAAATTTGGGCTATCGTCTAGAGGAAAAGCTACGAGGCAGTGTCAACAGAGCGTGTATGTTTGGAGTCTCAAACGTGGGGGTGGTATTTGGCCGGTAGAAGGAGGGAGAGTGTGATTGTCGTACTTTCGGGCACTCTCCTCGCCTATGCCTCTGAGTACTCGGCGGTTGAGTTTGGAGAATAGAGGTAATGAACTAAAGGCAATATTTGTAAAGTTCCCTGGTAAAGGGTGATGGAAATTCAGAAAGTCGCAGTAAGCTAGATGGAAAGACGATGGTATGATGGAGAAGAGTGGTGGGGGGACTCGGCACGCACAAAGGAGAATCTTTCGAAATCGTGTTTTGCAGAACTTGCCCTAGGACCTGGGTGTCGAATGCGCTTCAGAATTTGGCGGAACCACTTGGAACCTCGTGGACGTTCTTACTCAACACGTCGCCGAAAATAAGCTCTATTGCAATACTCGCTCCTCCCGACTTCCAACTAAACCCCCTCACTTTCAACAGCTTCTCAGCTTTCCATAGCGAAAGGCAAAAAAGGGATAACAATGCAGCGCTGGAGACGGAAATGGTCTGTTGATTAGTGAAATGGACGGATAAACGCGACGACAGGAGTGATACTTCTGGGGTAGTAATTCAACTGATTTGCGTCATCCCAGGTAGTGATTTGGGCTCGATTGGTTGGGCAAAGTGCTAAATTTAGAAAATATCAATGATCAGCGCGCATCTTATTGACGCGCAGCTAGTTTTCTCTTCCACACGCTGCAAGTGCATAGCTTGATTATGGGTCTCATCGAGTTGCATGTCATTGTAATGTATTAACGTCACCACAAACAGTATGTTGCACACGGGCATTTCTCGGCAATAAACGATCATCTATCATCGAACAGCAAATTTTTCTGATCCAACGATCACGATCACAGCGGAATACATAGATAACACCACCAACTGACTCGTAGCCATTTAACCGCCATTACTGTGTAAGACAGGGGCCACCACACAACTCCACATGCTGAAATTGAGCCTTTCATAGTCAACAAAGACTAAAATCACTAAAGTCCAATTTTGTATGTGTTCACTTGACTAACTTCTTATCTTTTATGTTACCGTCACATAACTACGACTCATCAAACTCAATCAACTTTTTCAGTCGGAGAGTGGTTATGGGTTCCACTTTTAATGTCGTGCTGTTATAGATGTCGTTTACTGCTCAGTGGGCCCCGTAACCCCCGTTCTGGGCTGGATACCTATGGTCAGGCAAGTATTCATGACTTAACAAATGGGGAGCTCCGCTCAGAAACACACCCAGATGTCCCCACATCGACTCGTCACGACGCTGGCTAGGCTAGCAGTGGGTTATCTCACCAACATTCTCTCGTGAACGCCTGTTCAATTGTTTAAAGACGTTATTACGAATCCTCGTGCGGAATGCAAGCACGAAAACCCCCAAAACAACGTCCAGCTCGCGCGACTCACGCCCAGCCCTAGAGGTCAATCTGGCCTCAGCCGAGCGTCGCCACCCCCAAGAGATTCTGTATATTATATCTCTGTGTTATTCTGTTATCTCATAGATCACGTTTATGGTCCCATTTCTATATGCTATAGCTATAATATGCTGAAGAAAATTACTGGAAATGTAGCAAAGATACCATCGCTTTAGTTTAACAACCGCTATTTCACACCGCACCGCGTGCTCCATATGTCATCACAAGAGTGCTGAGTTGCAGGCAAAAGTCGAATCCAGACGGATTCGGCTCCTGCTGACACCGTGCCGACTGTTTTTGACAATTTTAAGTATACCGCCTCCACTAAATGCACGATAAATAGAAGGATAAAGTCTTCGCCGTTAATCAATCCCTTTGTGGGATGCGGCACGCATTCTACTTCCATTCAGAATCGTAGTGGCTTATTGAATGCGATGTGGCCTATACAATGACTTGCGGGGGCCAGCCGATGTACAAGTCAGTGTTTTATCCTCCCAGACGAATCTGGTACCAATTTACCGTCCCCGGAGGGTAGAAGGCTTGGTTGGCCTGGGCGGGTGTCGACCTGGGATTCGAACCCAGGACCGCGCGAGTGGTAAGCGCGCCACTTGTCACTACACCACCTCCGCGCCAATAAATATCCGCCATGAATAAATAAACAGATGAAAGTACACCTCCGGACCTTTCTGTCTCGGGAGCACATCTACTTGCACCTAGGAAGCCCTTTGTAGAAGTTGCACCTTCCCAATAGC